TTGCTTTAGGGTTAGGGTTAGGGTTAGGGTTAGGGTTTGCTTTAGGGTTAGGGTTAGGGTTAGGGTTAGGGTTAGGTTTAGATTTAGGGTTAGGGTTAGGTTTAGGGTTAGGTTAAGGGTTAGGTTTAGGGGTAGGTTTGGGGGGGTTAGGGGAAGGTTTTAGCTTTATTTTTACATTTTTCGATCACAGCGCGATGTTTTCGTCGTGCTGTGATGACGTCAAATGCGCGCTTTCGTCGAGCGCGATTTTGTCCTCCGCAATTTTGTGGTGGAACCTGAACAGCAGCCTTCCTTCAAAATGAAGTTCCTTTCAAGATGTGAGTGGCCCCCACTCTATTTGTATTTTGTAGGGGCCTGAAGATGGGCTTCTTCCCTAAGTCTTTGGTGAGGATAATTACTGACCCCCTCTTTCTTTTCTTGGCCCCCCTCTAGGTTTATTTTCTCTGTCATTTCTGTTGTTTTTAAATGGTTTTCTGGTTCTGTGTTGTTCCTTTTTGAAAATGGGACAATTTGTAATCCAACCCAGAGTACATATAAATAATTATAAATAATATTATTTCACTGAAAATATATGGAAATGAATCAAAATCAGAATCATACACATTAAATCATGTGTGAAAGCCAATACATATGCACAACCATATCCCCTACTAAATTACAACACAGTGTTATCCAATCCCATCCAACCGGCAAAGTACATATTTCATAAATACTGATCTTACAATGATGATAAAGATATACAACTGCATTTCTCTGTATTTTAGGGCGTGTTTCAACTGTACCTAAATGTTTCTCTTGCTATACATATTGAAATCACTTCAAAGTGATTAAGGAAAACTAACTTTTTCATAATAAGATTCTCTTTGATAGGATATAGAATTTTTCCATGTGAAAATTAAAGGAAAAGAATGATATAATTAGTCTACACAATTTATTATAGCTGATATATGTAGTCTATCTTATGTCCTTCCAATTTCCGTCTTAATTCATTATATTTATTTAACCATAAAGACTAAAGGAGTGCAGGAGCCGACTGGTTAAGATGAAACAGTTATCAACCGCAAGTTTGACAGTTTGAAACCAAGCACTGCATGACGGGTATAAACTTATGTTACTTGCCCCAGCAACTGCGAACATAACAGTTCAAAAACATGCAAATTCAAGTAGATAAATAGGTACCACTTTGGTGGGAAAGTAAGAGTATTCCTTGTGCTTTTGGCATATAGTCATGCTGGTTATATGACCATGGAAGCAACTTTGGACAAAACTGGTTCTTTGGTGGTGAATCTCTACCGCCCCCTAGAATTGGATATGACTGGTGGGGAAATCTTTGTCTTTTTAAAAAAGACTATTGAGATGCCATTTAATCTTTACAGAAAAGGCAGAAGAAGCATTTAGATATGGGTTAATATACACTGTGGCTATTTTTAAAATCCCACCACACCAAACGCTGATCACATAGGTTTATATCACTTATTTCTCTTGCTTCCACCTTGAGAATATTACACTATTACATATGCACAAGATTCATGTATAATTTTGCATTACTAGAGTAAATCTGAGCAGCATTGGGTAGAATTACAAATAAAATCAAATTGTGGTTATTATAATTTTACTCCTTACTTGCCTTTACTACATGCCTGATTGAACCAATTGTAATAGGCTCGGGAGTTTTGCATGTATCTTCATTGTCAAATGCTTCTTCCCCCCAAAGATTTGAAAATTCCAATTCTCCTTCTTCCATTGGAATAGAAACTCCTTCAAAATTTGGTTTCTCATACAGAATCCAGCTACAATACAAGAGGGAAAATTAAACTGTTGACATGCTTCAAATATCTATTAGCTCCTACTGACTATTGCTTTACAATTTTGAAAAAGGGAATTTAGTATTTTTAAAATACTAGAGCAAAATTACTATAAAAAGTAACAAATGTGTGGTTTAAAGATTGGTGTATTTCTACTTAAATGGGTGGCTCATCCGATGATGAACTAGTAATAGCAATAGCACTTAGACTTATATACCGCGTCCCAGTGCTTTATAGTCCTCTCTGAGTGGTTTACAGAGTCAGCATATTGCCCCCAACAATCTGGGTCCTCATTTTACCCACCTTGGAAAGGTGGAAGGTTGAGTCAACCTTGAGATGGTCAGGATTGAACTCCTGGCTGAATTACCCTAAGATACTGCATTCTAACCATTCTAACCACTGCACAATCACAAGTCCAACTAGGGAACTTAGGTCATGCAAATAACCTAATGTATGAAGTTATTTGCATGAATAACTTCATACATTCCTAATTCAATCCTAGGCTGTGTGTGTTCATTATACAATAGATATGGGGGGTACACTTGTGGGAGGCCGAGTGGTGGTGGAAACAGAAGTTAAGGAAGAACTGTTGTTCTACCAATAGACAAATAAAACCCAAATATCCTTCATGTATATTTCTGCTTCATTTTTAAAACAAAAAAAAAATCACAGTAACTTTCTATATATTCTCTATATTATGAAACTCTTTTGCTCTGGACACAGTACTATGCTTAAATCTACCAAGATTCTTGTGCTCCTTGACATTAATGCATAGAACATGACTCATCTACAAGTTTTCATCTAGAAGAGCAGCAATAGTGTTGAATTAATCTCTTTTATGTGGTTAAAAAAGTAATCAATTAACATAGAATGACTAGTACTATGCTTAAGCATGCCTACTAAAATAATCAAGTATTGAAACAAACTGAGAGCAAATCCTCTCAAACAATCCTGCTATGTAACAATAAACCCATATAATTTACCACAAAGCAGTTGAGTGAAAAGGTGACTAAAAGTAACATCCTACTTTCTCCAGCATACAAGTATTAACTTGCTTGACATAAGGCAACAATCATTAAGAGAGAAGATCTTGCTAGCGCTTGAGGGAGAGCGATGCCATTTTCAAGAGATCAGAATGAAGATCAAGAAGATAGGCTGGGAAATAGAAAATAGATATCCAGAAGTAATTCCAAATAAGGACAGAAGTCAAAGCAAGCCAAACATCAGGTGCCAGAAGTACAGAGCTTAAATTTTAATGCGAAAATTTAAAAAAGTGAAGTAAATAAGCTCAATTGTGTCAAAAGCCACATAGTTAGTTAGTAAATTAAAAACAAACAAGTAAACAAGCAAGCAAGCAAGCTGTAAAAAAGTATCGAATGCAAGGCTATCCTGTACTATAAACAGGCGAAAAGGAAGGTGACAGGATAATACTGCATCTCATATATTAGATTTTATTAATGTCATCATGTTTACTTGTAATTGCTAATTACTTTAGGAATTTAGCAGTAATTATGGACAGGAGTTTATGTCAAGGAGTCACTTGTGCAATTTGGAATCAGCATTGCAATCTTGTGATCTCATAATGTTGGAGCTCATTAGCAGCTCTTTTGTCATGGTGCCTTACCACCTTGTTATACTACATAAAGGGTATATTACAGCTCCCATACAATGCCAACATTTCCTTAATTCTCCCAATGGTATCAGTTTCAGGCTATCAATGTGCAGGAACTATGAATCGGACTAGCTCATTGGATATGATGTTACTAGAATCTGATACAAGTATTGCTCTTTTATACTCCTTTTCTCTGCAGAGCATAACTGAACACCTGCTCAATATATAATAGCAGGATGCTTGTTAGGTTTTGTGAATTTCACATACAATGAATTTATCAAACAAGATGTTTGAAAAAGGAGATGTAGGATACTACCATGACAGAACAAAGGAAAGATACTAACAATTGTTCAAAACAATTGAAAACAATTAAATGCTCATTCATAGGCTGCTATGGATTTTTTAAAAATCTTCTACAAAGCCAAGCTTAATTATTTCTATACTTTTATTATGCAGGCATCATTTTATAAAAATTATAAATTATAAAAATCTTGAATATTTGAATTCTATCACTTTAAATTAAAATCTAATTCCAGATACAAAGATGATAGTAATGTCTTCCTGCTTCAAACCAAGCATTTTTGCTTTAGGTTAAAAAAAAAAATCTTATTTCTGTGACATTCCTGAGCTTCATTAGTTGCATTCTCTCTATCCTTGGCTTTATGAAGACCTTGATAGTAACAACAATTCTGCCATAGGAAATAAATCATTATTTGATAAATGCAATAAGCAAGCTCTCTCCAACTTTCTGTTAAGAGGCCCAGGAAAGATCTTTAAGAAAGTTCAGCATTTAATAATATTTAAAGCTAGATTTCTGGTTATTTTTTCCAAGACACAAACTAGTACTCATTTGACAGAAATCAGACAGCAGCTTTTAAAAAAGAAGTTACTTAAAAATTATAGGCAAAGCTTTTAAAACATCAAAGAAAGAAAAAAAGAATATATAAGCAAAGCTAACAATAAAGGTTCTATAAACATTATACACGTTATGACACTTTTAAACATGTCTTAGAAACAGTTCAGAGAGAACTTGTTTTGGCAAGCTCAGCTGGAAAACAGGCATGGGGCCAACCCGAAAATTTGCCGAAGAAATAAAGAACATAGAAAGGGGAATAAGCAGCAGACTGGCAGGATACATAACTAAGGAAAAAAGTAGGAGAGTAGACACTTTTATTCTTACCATCCTCGGATAACTTTAACTAAAATCACAGGCGACAATTTCCAAGAGGTGCAATCCAACACATCATGAAAAACTTCAAAACTATTTTCAGGGGCATCTGATTTATTGCAAATCACCACCTGTATTTTTTTTTAAAAAAAGAAATTCAGTCTCATTTAATCTAATGAGAAAATTACAATAAAACAACAAGCATCAATGAAGGAAAGCTGCCTTACCTTTCCAGGTCTAGGATTAGTTTTATTCTGGGTTTTTCCTGAAAATGTCTATGGAAAGCAAAAGGGAATAAACAGTAAGAAGAAATCAAGCATGACATTGGTATGTTCTACTTTCACAACAGTCCTACACTGAGCTCATTGCTCCAGCCTCACAGCACTGCAGCAAATCCAAACTGCTTTTGCAGAAATGGGTATGGAGACACTCATGATATGGATATGTGTCTTTTTCTATGCTTTACTTTGGGGAATGGGTATATAACATATCTTTTCCACAGTGCAAAGAAATATTTTTAACCACTTCAGACAGTAATCTTAAAAAAAAAATTAGAAATATTTATGATATATTTTTAGTGTTAAAAAATGCTGGGATCCTCCTGCGCTTCCTGGCATGTACAAGCCAGATTCCCAATGATATTACCTTTGGAGCATTCCAAGATTGGGATTTGTCAGTGAGAAGAAGCCCACTATGAGCTGGGTGATCCTGTCCTGATTGTTTCTTGTACAGAAACTTACAAAGAGTTTTTAATCTTGGAAGACACCAGAAAACAATTTATGCGCTCTGGGATTACCTCAATGACCGTAGGATTCACCACTGGAATTTGCATTCTGAACATTTCAAAATTGTTAGTATTTCTCAATACGATGGAATAAACCTTCTTACCTAATATGGATATATCCCTAATTTACATATTTTAAAGTATAACTGTTCCTACATCAGACTATAAAAAATTGATCAAATGCAGATATATATACTAAACATATTTTCAATTTACCCATAAAGGCCTATTTTAATGCAAGTTTCCAAGAATGATCTTGGAAAAAGAGGTTAAAAGAGGACTGTGCTCGAAGTATACATCTTTATTAGCTATCTCTCTTCTGTTATTCTGTGGAAGCAATTTGTTTTATATTAATGCAGTTCATCCCATTGACCACACTGTGTGGAACAATTAGTACTGTGAAGATAGGGTTAAAAGTTCTGAAAGATCAGTACAAAGAACCATTTAAATTTAATTAATTATAAATTAAAATAGTTTCTAAATAAGTTCTAAATATTGATTAAAGACGTGGAATTAGACTGTGATTAGTATTGTCAGTGAGATTGCTGTCAATCTCATGGTATGTGCAATAAATGATTAATACAATCAAGGAATGGAAGTTTAAACTCATGAGGCAATTTTTTTCTGGACTTGACAGTATTTATGGAAAGCACAGATGATGGCACTATGGCACCTAGTACCTTCTTACCACCTTAAGCTATTATACTTATTTAAAGAATATCATCTTAACTACTTGAACAACAGATATGTATAGACATTCATACACGTATATCTAAGAAATTGTGGGCTTATACTATTGGGATATGTTATTCTAATCTGGGCCAATTAAACAGATTATTGTGCCATTTCCTGGTTCAATTTTAAATATTATTAAAAGGGAAAGCAATGTGGTAGATGTGTCTTTGAAAGGAGGTGATGTGATGAACTACACTGAAATGGCAATTTCTCAGGAAGAAGGAAGCACATTCCAAGCTGGGTGTGGTTGTGGGTGTAAGATAAGAGTCAACACAGTCCAGAGCTGGATCAAAGGTAGACGAAGAGAGTTAGGATAGCCACTCCCTAGAATCTACCAGGGTACATCCATTAGAGTGTGAGTAGTATTCATTTAGTCTGGCAAGATTCTGGCAGTCTTTAGGGGTAGTCAGATTCTAGGTACTAGCACTAAAGCTCCCTTGCAAAGGACACAATACTGACTTCTTCCATCTTGCTATTCGGTCACAAAACTGGAGCTTTGGAAGGGGCCGTTTAGATCAATTCCCTGTACAGTACAGGAATGGAATGTGAATGAAAACATGCCTGAAAAATCTTATCTCCACAGTCCCTTGCATCTGTGTTGACTCCAATTCACTTCAATCTTTTGTTATGGTCAAAGATCGGAATCAAAATTAAAACATTACAACAGAACAGAACACAACTCTCAGTTGAACTCTCCTTAAGGTGAGGAAATGTTTTCCAATGCTCAGTCAGAATGGATCTTCTAATTTTAATCCATTATTCATGTTCTGCATTCTGAGGCAATAGAAAGTTGACCTCCTTCTGTTTCATAACCCTTCAAGTATTTGAATAGTACTATCAAATAGTTCCTTCCTCCTGTCCACTAGTTTCCTTTTTTCAAGGATAACCATTCCCTGTTCTCTAAGTCTCTCCTCAAAGACCATCTTTATTGTTTTTCTCTGAACCTGTGATTTTTCTACATCCTTGTTGCAGTATCATGTCCCACCCAAAATAAAGTAGGACTGTAAAACATTGCTTTCAGTGTAAATAACTTCCAAATGCAGCTGAAAACTGCATTGTTTTGTTGCAATTAGATAATTATCTTTGTAATCAACTACTATTTTAAGATCTTTTTCATCAGTACTATTGTCAAACTATGTCCCATTATACCTGCGCTTGTGTCTAATCTAATCTATAAGTAAATACTTGCACATTTGTCAAATTTTATTTTACCCTTGTATAGGTATAATTTTAAGTATTCTTGGCAGTATCATTTTTCCTTAAAGAGATTAGCAAAAATTTACCAAGACCTCCCCCAACCCCAGAATAACAATCCTGCAAGTAGTTTGGGCTATTTTATTGTGATATGCATAATCACAACATACTGCTAAACCATCTTTTTTTTGATACAAAGAAAATGGCAATGACATTTTTATGTGTGTGTTGAAGGAAGGAAAAACCATTTTTATCAATCCAAATGGTCATTTTCAATATTTTTATACCAACGCACACTGCTAATTTTAGTTGTTTTTAAAAGTTCACTGAGGTGAAAGAAGGAAAACATGAAGTCAAAAATTTACTTCACTACGCAGATATTTTCAAAAAGTCTAGATAGATTGCATTCAACCCACCTCAATAGGTAAGAATTCATTTGATTCACACTGACCAGGTTTCAACCAGTTTGAAAAACTGTTTTCAAGGCTTCCAAAGTTTGGCATTTGTAAAATTCTCTCTTTTTTTGCATCATCAGTTTGTAAATATTTATCCATATAGTTTGGTGCTTTGAAACCCGGAAGAGGCTAAACAGAAAATAAAGCAAATGATTGGCTGCAGGGGAAACATATTTCAGGTAACATATATTTCAGATAACATACACATATAAAATAACATTCAATAATAATGTGACATATAAAATATATTTCAGATAAAATGTATTTCACATAACATTATAAATAAAAAAATTACCTCGGATATCTGAGTTACATCAAATATTAGAGGAGGAATTCCTGGAGAAGTGGAGCTCTTCTGAGATGCAAAAGATGTTGTGATTGTGTTTACAGTGGTTACAGATGGCGTAAATGTTTTTTCTTTAGTTACGGGAGCTAGCAGACTGGAGAAGATGGTGCTATTTTCAAGTCGAGACCTCTTGATGTCACTGTCTGTGCTGTCCTTGGTCTCTTTCCCATTCATTTCCTGCATGAGAGCTGAATCTGCTCTACTGGGTAACTTCAGGGACTGGAGAAGGAGGCTGTTCTCAGCAGAGGCTCGCTTAGGTCTAATCCTAGCATCAGTCTCTAGGCTTTGCAATTTTAACTGGACAGATGGAGTTAGATCTTGTGATCTGTCTCTCTTGATTCCCAATCCCACGGTAAATATATTAGGGTCAAATATTTTCTCTAAATTGTCCTCATGAATTGGAGGCATTGCAAAGTGAGGGGCAGGAGGCTTTGGAAGCTTCTGCTTTTTCTTTTTTTGAGGTATACAAATAGAACTGTCTAGATTTTTAAGTGTTTCTGTAAACTTGGCCATATCTGAAGGAGAGTCACAAATGCCATCAGTGCTACTGCCTTCAGAAACATTACAACCACTGCTTTGGTTTTCTTGCCCGCTGTTATTTTGTTCAAATTCTTGGTTGTCTTCCAAAACTGTATTAATCACCTTTTGATCTTCATTTTCAAACTGAGAAATCTGGTTTAATTCTGATTTTTGGGGTGTCAAATCAGGCTGCGGCAAAGATTTAGCATTATTATTGGGAACATCATGATATGAGCTGAAGGAAAATGTCTCTTCACTTTCAGAAGATAAGGATGTGGCATTTGTACTCCAATTATTTGTTTCTATTTCTTCATTCTGCGCTATAGACGAAACATTATCTAGGTCTTTGTCCTTGACCAATTCTGTATCAATTTTTGCAAAAGTGAAATCATTTATTTCATTACCATCTACTTTGTCATTCTCATTAACTTGACATTTAACAACTTTTCCAAGTTCTTCATTTTTCCTAACATCCTCACGTATGTTGTTTGCCACAATCTTTCCCGGTGCCTTAATGTTTGTGTCTGAAGAGATTTCTTTTACTTTGGTGCCATTTTGCACTAATTTCTGACGATGGTTTCCTTTATTTGTTATTTTGTTAGTCTGTTCACTTTCAGTTTGCTGTCGTCCGAACTTCAACTTTGCTCTGCCAACAAATGTATTTGATACAGAACCTCTTTTTGAAGCAGGAGCATCAGCAGATTGATGTTGATTGTTTTGCTTGCTTTCAAACATGGATATTTTATTGGCAATGCTGAAGTTAAGTTTAACTTTGTCTGTAGAATCTTGCTCATTTTCCGTATTTTCCGGGGTTTTTGAAGCTTTAAGGTTTAATTCAATATTCTTTGGTTTAGCTGGCCTATAAAAATAAAGTAATAAAAACTAATAAAAATAATAAAAATATTTAAGTAACATTTACTTGAAGAGGATTTTTTTTCTAATTTATGAAACATATATGTCTATGTCTGTTTAGGAATTATTTCCAAATAAACACATAACAACTTGTACTACATATTGCACTGACATACTTTTTAGAATTATAATCTTTTTTTCCAAAAGCAGAATCCTAAATAAGTCTCCTAAAAAGTACTTCCCATTGACTTATTGAATTTAATATGCATAAAAATATACAAAATGGCAGTCTAATAATTTAAAGGAATAGTAAAATGAAACTAATTGTGAGAGAGCCTGTGACAAATTTTTCAATATAGCATCAGAAAAAGACATACAAGAAATGTAATTTTTTTAGCCACATAAATTAGCAGAACATTAGTTTCTTAGCAACTTACTCCTTTCTTTTTAGTATCAAGTCATATGCTTTAGTGCATCAAAAATTAGATTTACTATTGGAAGCTTTCATTGTTTCTTTCTGTGAACTCATTAAGTCCAAATATGTTCTCCATTTTCACTTGGAAAAGTTCTCTCTCCCTCCCTCCCTCTCTCCCTTTCTCTCCCTCTCTCTCCCCCTCCCTCCCTCCGGATTTTTTTTTTAAATTTTTGATCATATATTTCATTTCTTGATACTGCTCCTGACATGCACGTTTG